TGTTCGGTGGCCACCCTGTACCGCTCGTCCGTGACTTCGATCTTTCTCTTTCCGGTCGATGTCTCGAAACACGCGCAAGACGGAAATCACCTCGCCCGACCTTGTCCGTCCCGTTCTTTCCTCTTCCGTCGTACCCGTCGCGGTGTGCTTCTAAACTCTGGCAAATCGCAAGTTTCGATCGATCGGGCGTCTCCCGTTGCACCGACGTTTTCCCGTTCTTCGATATTGATCGACGATTCGCTTCCAACTTTGCCGCAAACCGATACGATTTCGCGTCGCGTCTTCCTTCTTTCGAATACGTTTTTCCTTTGCTCTTCGAAGCGCGACTCGACGCGTCGTCCGAACCTACGTGCCAAGTTTTCGCCCAATTTCCTCGATCCTTTTCGTCCTTCCGCTCTTCGTCGATCGTTTTCCAAAAATATTGGCCGCTTCAGATTTTTCCCAACGCGCGTGTCGAGTCTGATCCGTGGAATTTTCACCTACGTTCGTTCCAACGTGTTCAATCTGCAACTAAATCTCGTCGATCGCGAGGAGAATATGCGGCACGGAAAAGGCGTGCGATGCGAATCTCGTCGTCGCACGGGTGTGCGGAGGGCGTTGGCAGCGCGTTACCTGTCGTCGATGATCCGACTATCCGTCGGTAAAGGCCAATCACTTACCTTTTCGAATTGGGATCGTACGCTTGCTGCTCCGATCGAAGATAAACGCCGTGCCGATTGGTCGTTGTTCCCGTTGTTATCATCGTTGCGATCGAAAGACTGCGAACGTCGTCGAAGGGAAGAGATGTGAAAATTTGGCGTGGGACAAGAATCGAGACGCGATTCGCACGTTTGTCGTTTAATTGAACTGTGCGTGCATCTCGCACGTGGTTGTACGATACATCCTTCCGCGAGATACGTCGTTTCTTTCCAGTTGCTATCGTTGCTTGGGACGCGAGAATCGAGTTGTCCAAGCGTGCTTTGTCTTTGTTCGTAGGCTCGATTCCACGGTCGAAAAATATATTTTGCACCAGAGATTGAACACTGTGATCGACCTACCGCGTACGTACGTGCACGCGTACGTACGTACGTGCGTCGACGCGAACCTCGGGCGAGTGGCGAACGTTGCGTAGCTCTCGTCGCGTCGAGATAATCCGAAATTTCCGAGCGAACGAACGCCGAATCGTCGTTCGATCGTCCTCGAATCGATCGATGCGAGGGAAAGTAACTGACGACTCGCGATGGGAACTCGCGACCGATTCGCGTCGCGAGCGGATCGTTTTCGAGATCGCCTCGCGATTGGTTTGCACAGAAGGGAGACTACCAGCGAGAGGAACGAGACTCGCGATCCGCGCAGCGACCGGCCATGTATCGATCGGCATCGGCGAAACGCGCTCGCGTTTGCACGATCGTTCTTCTCGTGCGCGAAGAGGTGGGAACGGGAAGGAAAGATGGAGCGGCTGAGAAAACTCCATCGCCGACACCTTTCGAGAAGGGTGCGCCCGTTTGAAACCAGTTCTCGTTCGAGGCAAGGCTCCTCCCAGAACGAGAATCTTACGGACGAGGTTGCGCCTTCGTTGGCCGGGGAACGAAGCCGGCGGTACGACACGGTCGCGATCGCGCGAACCTTGAAATCGTCTCGCTTCTCCGAAACCGAGCGTCCGCGGATACGAAAGATGTAGGAGGAACGGACCGATTCGCGTCTCTACGTTGCGCAACGCCGCCGGCGCGCGGTCGAAAGTGCTGCGTGCGAGATCGAGTCAGGCGAACGCGTGAACGCGGGAGAACGCGTCGTCGATTTGACCGGGGTGAGCCGTCTCGTTCCGATCGGTCCCGTAATCGGTTGGTCACGTCGAGTGCTGAGGAGGCGCCAGAGTAATTTCGTATCCGGTCGGCATCCCTTGGTGCTGATGGTGCTGATAATGATGAACGCTGGACATCGTTTGGTGATGCGTCTGCTGGTAATACTGATGATGCATGCTCGAATGGCTCGAGTAATAGACCGAGGTCTGCTCCGCGTCCTTGCCTGAAACCAGAGAGTATTTCGATGCAGGCGTGGTGTTGCTCGCGCGATTCGTTCGAGAGACGATCGATCGAGATCGGAAGATAAAGACTTTGCTTTCGCTCGCTTACCGCTTTCGCAAACGCCGCGTCCGTAGCACAGCGTTTTCACGTCGTTCATTGGACTGAGGCCGCCGCTGTGAAGGTGCGTGGTGTGCACCGACGACGGAACCACGGGTGTCGCGTATCTGGCATGACGAGGAGCCATGGGGCTCGTACCCATCGGGCTGCACGGATTCACACCGATCGGCGACATGCTCATCGTCGACAGCGGCGACATCGCCAGATTCGTGCCGTTCGAATCGATGCTCTGCAACGATTGAATGCTTTCCCCGTTGCTCGCCGAGCTGCCGATCGCATTGCCGCCGTTGTTCTGGCAGTTTAACGGCAACATGTCCCTGCAAACGAGAACCACGAAGGAGTTGTCGAGCCGCTGAACGACGCAAATGCGAAAAGGAATCGGTTCGAGGAAGTCTCGTCGCCTCGCGATAAATCGTCCGCGGGTGTCCTGTAAAATGTCGACGGGGATGAAAAATCGGAGAAAAGGTCGAAAGGTCCGAGAAACACGTGCGAGCTTCTCCTCGCATTGTCTCACGAGTCGGAAAAAAATCCACGACCCTTAGGAACCTAGGAACGCGTCCAAACGATTGGAGGTTCGTAGGCGCGCACACGCGCGCGTTCCTCTCTCTCTCTCTCGTTCCGAGAATTTCCTCGTCTTTCGGCGAGGAACGCTCCGAGCGAAGAGAGGAAGAAAAGGAGAGAAAAGACGGCTTGTTCGACGCGCATTGTCCCGCGGTCGGCGGAAAGAAACGCTCCCTGACCATTTGCGCGCGCCAACGTTTTCCTCTCTTTGACCCCGCCGTAGCGATCTTTCCGCTAGTGCTGGTCGCACAGCGAGCCGTCTGTGTACGTCCGTGCATTGGTACTTGACGTTAACGTTGGCGACACGCACGTGCACGCACGGTGGTCCATGTGCAACCAGCTCCGCCCCTGACCGCTTGGTTCCTGCCACTTGGTTCGCTTCGTTCGCCTCCTCCCCGACGTCGACCTTCTCTCGCCGCTCTGCCACGAACCGCGCATTTTT